TTTTCCCCGATGAGAAAACATTCGTTGTCCAGCAGTTTGTAAACAAACAAAATGATCGTGTTTACTTGCCAAAGAGGTCAGCTGAAAATGTGTTTCTTCAGTTGGCCACCAGAACTCAAGTGCCGACCATGGTGATGGTGTGGGCCGCCATAACAGCCGACGGTCGCTCTCCGCCCGTATTAATCGACCGTGGGATCAAAATAAATGGCGAATATTATCGCGAAAATATTCTGGAGGCTGTATTAAAGCCTTGGACACGAAAAACATTTTGGCCGCAGACCTTGGACATTCCAACAGAACTCAGCACGCGCCACCCAAGAATGGTTACAAAATGAGGTTCTTCGCTTCATTTCCTGCGCACAACGGCCACCAAAATCTCCGGATACCAATCCGTTGGACTATTATGTCTGGAGCATTTTGGAAAGCAAGGTTGGTACTTAAAAATACCAAAGTGTCGATCACCTCAAGCAAGCGCTTCGCAGGGAATGGGCAGAAATACCACAGAGCAACATTCGGGCAGAGTGTGATGGTTTCACTGGTCGTTTAAAGGTCGTGCCAAAGGTGACCAGTTCGAACAATTCTAAACATATTCTAAAATTTGATGCTATTTCCGACATTATTTGCTGTTATGCAATAAAATTTCCAAAAAAAAGTAAAAATCATGGCATATGACTTTGTTGCAGTTTTTATCTCATCCTGTATATACAATGTTCCGCCAACGGAGTTATAAACCATTACAAACTAAACGTAGTTTAAACTAACATAATAACAAATATGACGATGGGCGTTATATGGAGGCTATAGTAAGATTTGGATCCATACAATCAAAAATCTGTCACCAGAGTTAGAATCCGTTATAAACTCTTCATATCAACTGTGGAACAATTCCGCTGAAAAATGCTGCTAAAATCAGCAAAACACCGAATATCGGGATGTACCTTTATATGGGGGCTATACATACACAAGACACATACTTGTCTCAAATTTCAATGCTATAAGTAAAATAATGAGGACGATATTGTGATTTCAAGAGAGAGAGACGTACTGCCCGACAGACAGACGGACATCGCTAGATGGACTTTGAATTTTATGCTGATCATGAATATATACACATTGTAGGTTCTACGACTTATATTTAGAGATGTTACAAACGGAATGACAAATTTAATAAACCCTCCTTTCTATGGTAGAGGAAATATTTTAAGAGAGAGGATATCGCTTCCTTTTTTCGGATAATCTGCGATGTAAACTTTCAAAACGTCAATACGGATGTATTCTATTTTTAATCTACTTTTATAATCTACTATGATTCTCCCATAATTATTGTTGGTGATGCACAGTGTTATGAAATCTGCAGCGATGTAATGCATAATGCTTCAGCAAAAATACTCCTTGCAAATGATTTTCTTAATAGGCTAATGCAGTTATATTTTGACCACTGGAAGTCTATGAAATTAGCACTCATTTATCGAATTGGATTAATTAACGTCGTTATGAAAGTAACTTATCGATTTAACGTCGTCATAAAATAATTTCTTATTTCGTGAGACTTGGGTTCCTTAACTCGATTTATAATGAAAATTGTTGCTGGAAAGTAACTTTTATTATTACCATAACTGCAGCATTACGAAAAGCCAATTAAATTCTACGCAGAAAAAGTTGCAAAAATTTACTTAAAAAAATACCAACAGAAAGAAACCTGCAAATAAATTGCAATTGATTTGGTAGAGAACATTTCAATTTCAATAACAAACAAATTTCAAATTAGGTCAAACGGACTCGTTCGACCAAAAAGGAAAATAATGTTTAATTATATAGAAATTTCTATCTGCATTGAGTTTTATTTGTTCTGCCCACCGGCAGCAGCAGTAAGTAGAAAGCCAGGAAAGCAACAAAAAGAAGAAAAAACTGTATTCTTTGACGATGAAAATAAACTAAAAATTTGAAGAAGGGTACAGTAGTTCCAAAATGTATGACGGCAGCACATAGAAAAAAAAATACTTTTTTTGGAAACATTAAAAAAAAATAATAATAAAAACGTATAAAAACTTTTTATGTAGTAAGAAGTACTGATAAATGTTAGATGCTAAGTTAAAAATTTCCTCGTGCCTGAATTTAGTTGCTCTCCTACTGTCCAATATGTGTTACACTCCCACTCCTAACTGCAACTGTTGCCACAACTTTTTTTGCCAATTTTTTATACCCTCCACCATACTATGGAGGGTATATTAATTTTGTCATTCCGTTTGTAACTCCCCGAAATACTCATGTCAGACCCAACAAAGTATATATATATTCTTGATCAGCGTAAAATTCTAAGACGATTTAGCCATGTCCGTCTGTCTGTCTGTGTGTCTGTCTGTCTGACTGTCTGTCTGTCTGTCTGACTGTCTGTTGTAATCACGCTATCTTTCGAACAAATTGAGATAGAAGGCTAAAATTTTGCACACATGTATATTTTGCTAGTAGGCAGGTTAAGTTCGTAAATGGGCCATGTAGGTCCAAGTTATCATAAGGCCCCCATATAACGGTACTTCCCGATATTCGGTATTTTGATGATTTTAGCGACATTATTCACCGGAATTGTTTCAAATTTGGCATTTGAAGTTCGTAATGGATACAACATCCTCAGTCAAAAAATTAGCCATATAGGACCACGTCTTTATATAGCCCCCATATAACGGAACCCCCCTATATTCAGTATTTTGATGATTTTCGCGACATTATTTAACGGAATCGTTCCAAATTTGGTATTTGAAGTTCGTAATAGATACTGCAGCATAAAACAGAAAATCGGCGATGTAGATCTAAGTCTTCGTATAGCACCCATATACCGTACCCCCCGATATTCGATATTTTGATGATTTTAGCGACATTATTTACCGGGATTGTTTCAAATTTCGCATGTGAAGTTCGAAATGAATACTTCAGCCGATGCCAGAAAATTGTATGTGCAGGTCCACGTCTTCGTATAGCCCCCATATATTCCGTACCCCCTATATTCCGTATTTTGATGATTTTAGCTACATTATAAACAGATTTTTCTTCAAGTTTCGCAATTAAATATTGTAAAAACTTATGACAAAAGTTGCCTATGCAGGTCCACGTCGTCGTATAGGCATTTGGTATTTTTAAGATTTTAACAGAATTTTTAACGGATTTTATTTATTTTTATACCCTACAACACTATGTGTTGGGGGTATTATAAGTTTGATTGGGCCAAAAATTATGTAACACCTCGAAATATTGATTTCCCACATAGGAAAGTATATATGGATCTTCCTAGCTCGACGAGCTGAGTCGATCTAGCTATGTATGTCCGTCCGTCCGTCTGTCCGTCTGTCCATGTTAATTTGTAATCACTCTACAGGTCGCAATTATGGCCCGATCCTTACGAAATTTTGCACGAAGGTGGGGTTAAGGTCAGAATAAAAGCCTATTTCTTTTGGAAATGATCGCCAAATGTTTAGGGGTTGAAATGGACCAAAAACTGAAAAAATGTCGGATTTTGCAGTAGCTATACAGGTCGCAATTATAGACCAATCGACGGGGAACTTCGCATGTAGCTAGAGTTTAGGGCGGGGAAGAAGCCTACTAATTTGGGTAGTCATCGGATAATATTTAGCGGGTAAAATATACCATATCTTTTGTGTTGAAAAAATTCAAACTTTTTCATTAAACCGTGAATATTTTAAATCCCAGCGAAATCACAAAGCCATCACAAGGTTACTTCTGACCTTTACATTGATCTTAACATTCAACAAATCGGATATATAGCAAAATAGGTGCGATATATATGTCTATCAAAGAAGATATGCTTGAAAGGTTTCTTATATGTCGAGAACGGCTGAACTGATTTCGACAGTTCTCATTAATTCAGAATAGCCTCTTGGCAGAAAAGGAAAAATGTCTAAAAAATCGCATAAAAATATCTCTCTAAAGATGAAAATATTGATTTTGTAAAATATTCTCATATTTTTTCAATTTTGTCATATTTTTGGCATATTTTCATTTTGAATTAAACATTTGGTAATATTTCTACAGCTAACAAAACTAAGTAGTTAGGATATCAGGATATCATATACAGATCGCATTTATGGCCCGATTCTTACGAAATTTAGCATGGGGATAAAATGAGGGTCAGAATAGAAGCCTACTCTTTTTGGAGATGATCGCCATATATTTAGCGGTTGAAATGGACCAACAAAACTGCAAAATAATCAGCAGGTCGTAATTATCGCCCGATCCTCACGCACATTTGAATGTGGGTTACCGGTCATTGCAAAGGCTAAGCAGTTTTGGATGGCCATCCAAAAATATTCAATGTGCGAAATAGTTTGCCAACTTATGTAGACAAAAATTCCAGTGACTTTTTGGAGAATTCACAAATACAGGAAAGACGCACTTCTGACTATTTCTTTAACGCTGATTTCGTTGAAGATTATAGTCAAATGTTTGTATCTCATATAGATGCATTTCAGTCAAAAACAAATAATAAATGTTAATCTTTTGCCACTTTTGAGAGATTATAGGTCTTTGGGAAATATTGGTTCCAGATCTAGGAAGACCATTTACGTGCAACATTTACCAATAAATTGGAAATAAGCAAATTAGTTTAAGTTGCTATTATTCGAAAATTAGAGAACAGAACCTGATGGTTTTCTTTTATTATTTGTCACAATATCTTGTGGAATTCTTCCGAGTATCTCGACTATATAAACTGTATCGTTTATTATAGTGTTGTAGGGTATTTAACGGTCGGCCACGCTCGACTGTAGCCTTTGCTTACTTGTTTTTTTTTTTTTTGAAATTGCCAAATTTGTACCAGATGCTGGAGGGTATTAAAAGTTCGGCCCGGCCGAACTTACAGCTTTTTTACTTGTTTCTACTTGTTTGTAACATTCAACAAATATACTTATCCATTTGTGCAAATCACGTTTGTATGTGTGTGTGTGTGTTTGGTTTTGCATTTTTTTTTCTCAAAAGGTAAATTGACCTACTTTTGATCATCGATGGGCACATCCGAGGCAGAATCGAAAGGTATGGGCTGATCTTCTTCAGGTATTTGCAATTCAGTAGCCAAAAGTTGTGATAATTCACCAGCCATTTCTGCCCATTTGTTAGACAACTCTTCCTGAAAATAGAATGTAAAGGAAAAAAAAAAATAACAGATGAAGATAACATGAAAACGTATTAAAACAAATGATGTAGTAAATGTGGAATGCCAAGATAATAAACTCTAATGAAAATTTAAATAAACTTTCAGAAAAAAAAGAACAACTTTTACATAAAATATATTAAAAGTTGATGGAGGAGATAACTTTTTTTTGTTTTTGTTTGCAAACAAACAGAAAACTAAGTGAAACTAGATTTGGTATTATTGGAGTCAAAGAGAAAAATTTAAAATTATGGGGGGACCCCATAATCATTTGATATCATTTGATACGACCAAAACGTGCCTGGTCGAAATAATGGTTTTAGACCTTAGGTCTCTTTGGACCAAAATCCGTTTCAGGACATTTGGAGTCGATCTAACGATGTCGGCCCGTGTGTCTGTCTGGTGAGCACGATAAGTCTAGAAGGCAGTATCCGATTTGATTCAAACTTGGTACATCGTAATATTATTGTCAAACTTAGATTGAGTTCATAGATGGACAATATGGGTCGACTCCTTCTGGTACCTCCACCACAAAATGTCAATATTTTCAAAGAAAATAATTTACTGCACATAAAGAGAAAGGATATTCAGATTTTGTTCCAACTTTGCATCAGTTCTAGGCCACAAGGGGTCAAAATTTGGAATAATTATAAGTCTTATAAAATGTCATGTAAGAGTCCGATTGTCTTCAAATTACACAACCATAAAGCTCATAAAACGCGAAAATAACATCCGATATCACTCAGACTAGGCACATCTCAATATTTCATTCAACACAAGATATACTATAAAGATGGCAGAGATCGGTCCATTCCTTCCAATACCTCCCCCCACAAAAGGGCCAAAATTTGAAATAACCAAAACGGTCATAAACGCCGAAAGAGGCATCCGGTTCTCTTTATATTACACACATCACAATATTTATATTAACCCAAGGTTTGTTGCGATGAAGGAATATATCGGTCCAGTTCTTCTTGTACCTCCCCTCCAAAGGGTCAAAATTTTAAATATCCATGAAGCTCATAAAACACGAAAATAACATTCGATTCCACTCAGACTTGGCATATCTTAATATTTTAATCAACACAAGATATGTTATAAAAATGGTAGGGATCGGACTATTTCTTTTGGGTTGAAGATTTAAAACAAAAAACCAAAAGCGCAATAAGCATCCAACTCTCTTCAAATTTCACACATACAAACATTTTTGGTAACACAAGATCTGTTGTGAAGATGATATATATCAGCGAACCCCTTCTTGTACCTCACCCACAACAAGGGTCGCAATTTCCAATACTTTTATCTACCATAACTTACGAGACAAGTATATTTATCTCAACCAGAAACCTGAGATGAATATGGAATTTATTATTTCGTATAAAATTTGATAGAAATTTTCGATTTTTTTGTAATTTTGCCCATACCAATATTTATACCCTACGACACTATGTGTTGGGGTATTATAAGTTTGATTGGCCCAAAAACTATGTAACACCTCGAAATGTTGGTTTCCCAGACAGGAAAGTATATATGGATCTTCCTATCTCGCCGAGCTGAGTCGATCTAGCTATGTATGTCCGTCCTTCCGTCTGTCAATGTTAATTTGTAATCACTCTACAGGTCGCAATTATAGTCCGATCCTTACGAAATTTAGAATGGAGGTGGGTCTAGGGTCAGAATAGAACCCTATTTCTTTTGGAGATGATCGCATAACATTTAGGGGTTGAAATGGACCAAATACTGAAAAATTGCCTGATTTTGCAATTGCTCTATAGGTTGCAATTATAGACCAATCGAAGCGGAATTTAGCATGGGGCTGGAGCTTAGGCCTGGGCAGAAGCCTTCTAATTTTGATGGTCATCGGGTAATATTTAGTGGGTGAAATAGACCATAACATTTTTGTTAAATAAAAGTCAAATTTTCTATTAAATCGCGAATATTTTTAATCCCGGTGAAATCAAAAATTGACGAACAGGTCAATTCTGACCGTTACGTAGATGCCTACGGTAAATATATCGGATATATATAGCGAAATATTTACAATGTATATATAGAAAGGAAGGGGATGTTAGCTAGAATGCTTATATCTCAAGAATGGCTGGACAAATTTTGACAAGTGATGTCAATTCAGAATGCCCTCTTGGCATAAAAGAATAAAACCTAAGAAAATCGCACAAAAATCGCATACCAATAATGATGTTAATATAGATGTTGTAGTATTTTGTGACATATTTTTTATTTTTTCATATTTTTTATCGCATGCGATTTTTTCAATTTGATTTATAATATTTTGTAATTTTTTTCCACTTTACAACACAGGTTGGGGAAATTATATAAGTATTGCAAATATCGTCAAAGATGTCCGTAATATATTAGGGGTTGAAATGGACCAACAACTAAAAAATTTCCTGATTTTGCAGCCGTTATAAAGGTTACAAATAGAAACCAAAGGACACGAAATCTCGCATAAAGTCAGAGTTTAGGACAGCGGATACAACGGACCACTAATTTTGTGTGAAAAAAATACCAGCATTACTTACAGGCGATACCCGGAATACACAAAAGGCGAACTTCTGGCTTTTTTATGCTGATTTCGTTGACGAATATAGCCAAATATCGTAGACAAGCAAATCATATAGATGAGTCCAAATTTGGAGGTACAGGGGGTATTCTTGCTTTTGGAGATTATTGCAAAATATTTAGGGTTTCAAATTAACCAAAAACAGAAATGTTTTTCCGATCACACAATTAAAGCCAATCGACACGCCTGTGAAGAGAGTTAAGGACAGGGAAGAATTCTAGCATTTTGGATGACCATTGGATTATATTTAGCTGTAAAATGGATCACAACAAGTAACAGCCCGTCAGAGTGCATAAATATTGGGCAAATGTCCCTAGTCAAAATCCTAATTTCAAAAGCGAAGTCTTCCAATATGGATTTGGACATAAGGAGGCTTCTAACATTGCAGTGTTGAAGGGTACCACATGTTCGGCCCCGCACGACTATGGCCTTTGCTTACTAGTTTTTATCTGTATTTGATGAGGTATAAATATGGAATACTCCGTTCGACTATATGTGGAACATCCGGCACACTTTTAACATTTTCTAAAAAAATAGCACATCTCTATATAAAGTGAAGGAAGCAGTCGATACAGTCCAAACCTGGCTCGTCGCAATATTTATATCATATTTCTTTGGGTCCAATACGAAATGCACGTAATTGGAACATTCATTCGGAACCTATTCCATAGAGATTGACCCCTTACGATAACAAAAGTCAAAATATATTTAAATAATCGAACATTGGTTGAAGGTATACATCAGTCGGCAAAACCGACTGATTTTTTCAAACTTGCATCTAAAGTGCATCCAATGCATGTAAGAATACATTGCTGAAGATGGCTTGATGGTGACTGGGAAATAAGTGAGAACGTACTGTATTAAAAAACTATGAAATATACTTATATTGGACAAACGAAATGAGCTAGAATTCTGATATTTGGAATGAGAGTCGTTGATGGATAGCAGGATAGATGCTTCAAATGGTTTTTGGAAATTCAAACTTGGAGATTACGAAAAGTTTTAAAATTGTACTAAACGTCAAAAACTGTAGCATTTGGTGAACGGATAGAACTAATAACTTTAAAATCGGTATGAGTTGGGAAGATAGTTTGATCTAGCAAGGTGGTTTTGGAAATGTGTTTGTGATCTGTCCTAAATGGTACTAAATTTGGAACAGTTTGATTTACGATGAACTGAACTGAGGATGGCGTTTTCAAATTTTGGTGTTGGGAAACCTGTTGGAGCTTGGTTCATGACAAAGTGGTGTTTTTGGAAATGGGTACTACAAGTGAACAAAGAGTACTAAATACAAGGTGAGATAAAAAAAAACTACAACAAACTTCAGACTGCTGTCATTTCTAAGCCAATCGTCCGACAGCTGTTAAAATTATTCCAGTGACTGCTCATTATATTCTTTACAAGCGTACAGAAGCATTTATGTGAGAATTTTCCAAAAAACAAGTTAAAAAGCACTAAGTTCGGCCGGGCCGAACTTTTAATACCCTCCACCATTTGCAACGAATTTAAAAATTTTTAAAAAATAAAATATTCAAAAAATTCTGTTAAAATTTTAAAAATACCGAATATAGCCGTTATATTGGGGTCTATACGACGTGGACATACATAGGCATTGTTTGTCATAAGCCATTACCATATTCAAATTGGAAACTTGAAATAAACGGTGAATAATGTAGCTAAAATCATCAAAATATCGTATATAAGGAGGTGCCGTTAAATTGGAGCTGTGCAAAGACCTGGACCAGCGTGGACAATTTTCTGTCACAGGCTGTAGCATCCATTACGAACTTCAAATACCACATTTCAAACAATTTCGGTGGGTATTGTACCTAAAATCGTCAAAATACCGAATATGGGGAGGTACTGATATATGGGGCCTATACGAAGACCTGGACCCGCACAGACAATTTTCTGTCACAGACTGTAGTATTCATTACGAACTTCAAATAACAATTTTGAAACAATTCCGGTGAATAATGTCGCTAAAATTATCAAAATACCGAATATAGGGAGGTACCGTTATATGGGGGCTATACGAAGACGTGGACCTGCACAGACAATTTTCTGTCTTAGGGTGTAGTATCCATTTTGAACTTCAAATACCAAATTTGAAACAATGCCGGTGAAAAATGTCCCTAAGATCATCAAAATACCGAATATAGGGAGGTACCGTTATATGGGGGCTATATGAAAACGTGGGCCTACATGGCTACATTTCCAGCTGTCGGACGATTGGCTTAGAAAGTTGTGAACTGTCGAATTTGGTTTTCTCCGATGAGGAAAAATTCGATGTCCAGCAGTTTGTAACCAAACAAAATGATCGTGTTTACATGCCAAAGAGGTCAGCTTAAAATATGCACCTTTGGTTGGCCACCAGAACTCAAGCGCTGGCCAT